GGCGGAGGCCCGAGTCTCTGTGGCCTGAAGGAATGTGAGTGTCCTCTTGCTGACCTGTACTCGTGTTAATAACTTTCCTGGTGACGTGTGGCTGAAGGGTTTACCTGACTTTTAAACTGCTTATAATAGAAAATAGGGAATTTCAGATAATATTCTGCATTTTATTTATTTTTTTGAGACAAGGATTCAGTTTGTGGCACAGGCTGGAGTGCAGTGGTGTGATCTTGGCTCACTGTAGCCCCTGCCTCCCAGGTTCACAAGATTCTCCTGCCTCAGCCTGCTAAGTAGCTGGGACTATAGGGGAGCGCCACCACGCCCAGCCAATTTTTGTATTTTTAGTAGAGATGGGTTTTGACCATATTGGCCACGCTGTGTCCAACTCTGGACCTCAAGTGATCTGCCCGCCTCGGCCTCCCAAAGTGCTGGGATTACAGGCATGAGCCACCATGCCAGGCTTACATTTCGATTTTTGAAGAGTACTTTTAAACGTACAGGCAAAATACATTATGCTTGGCTGAATGCTATTGAGTATGGCATGCACTGAAATAGCCTTTTTATAGAAAGTTAAGATAAATAGAGTTTCGTGCACCAAAGGGCATGTTCCACGAAATGTTTTCACGAAATGTCTGGAATTTGTGTTTGTATTTGGCGTGACTTTACAAATTAGAATGATCAATAATTAGACATAATGGCTACAGTTTGTCGAGCACCTACCCCTTGTGGCTGGGTGGATTATGCCATCAATTCAAGTTTACACATTACCTACCTGCCCGCCAGCCGCAGGCACCCAGCCACCCTGGCCTGTTGGCCTGGGGTGCTGTCAAACCCTTCCTCACCACAGGGCCTTTGCACGAGCTGCTCTAGCTGCCTGCAGCATCCTCCCTGGGCTTTGTGTATGTTGGCTCCTCCCACGCGCCAGGGCATCAGGAGACAAGTGTCAGGGCCCATCAAACCCCAGAGCTACCCTTGGTTTCACCTGACACCCCGGCAGGCTGGCGTCCACTTGTCCCCTTGGGATGCTTTCACAGCACGCTGGCCTTTCCTGCCCAGCACACGCCAGAATCCTGGAATGATGTTATTTCTGTATTTATTTGTTTTCTTTCTCTCCCACTTTGGGTTGCCAGACAAAATGCAGGATGCCCAGTTAAATTTGAATTTCAGATAAACAATGAATATTGATTCTTATGCTAATTTAACTGGGCATCTTCTGTATTTGTTTGCTAAATGTGATGACCCTGTTCTCACTGGCCCGAAGGCTATGCGAAGGAGACTACCTGGCCCACCAGTGTATTCCTGATTCATAGCAGGTGCTCAGTCACCTGACAAGCTGTTTCAAGGTGATGCCAACCCAGCCTACCCCACACCGGGCCCCTGCCTCTTGCAGATGCTGCTGAGAGCAGTGCCATCACCAGTCAGTCCCACATCCCTAAATGGCATACAACAACTCCAGCCATCCCCATTCCCCACTGTCCAAAGACTAGACAGTCCAGAGCAGGTCAGCAAACCTTCTAGAAAACCATCTCTGAGATGTTTAAAACTGGGCAGAAAAGAGAGCTGGCCAGTGGGGAACACATCTTAGGAGGTAAAGCTAGACCCTCTGCATGCCGGGTAATCCGGGGAAAAGGAGGCTCTGAGATGGGGGCGTGCACCGGCAGGGAGGTGACAAGTCTTAGCAAAGAAGCTGCGGGCGCGACCTCGGTGCATCCATTAGAGGTGCTCGTCGCCATGGAGACCAGACAAGTGGGCAAGCAGCCAGGGAGGCAGGAACAAAGCGGCTGCCAGTGCAGTGCTCATGGAGAGCTTGGGAGGTAAATGTACCTGATGCGGCTGAGTGGCGACTTGGATTGCCCAGATGTCCACCGAGACGTGTCGGGGAAGGGGAGGCTGCAGTGTGACTCCTCAGGACAGGAGGAGCTCAGAAGTTCCAGGAAGTGGCTGGTGGCTCTAGGGTAGCTCTTCTGGAGGTGGCATCTCTGGGTGCAGGGGATGATCCCCCAGGACTGCACCCTCACCCTCGGTTCTGGGCCCACGCACAGACCCAGGCAGCTGCTGCTAGGCTGGGCACAGCTCTCCCAATCCCGCAGCCTGGCACTGCCTCCCGGTTTTGGTCCCCACTCAGGGAGCCTGATGACAGAGGCCAGTGTCAGGGCCCATCAAACCCCAGAGCTACCCTTGGTCTACCTGACACCCTGGCACCCTGCAAGACAGAGCCCAACGGGACTCAGAGCTGCTGTCCCCTGGGGAGCCTGAGGCACAGAGCAGGGAGGCGGCCTCCCACAACAGGTCTTCTGACTGTCCCATGCTGCCACACACAGATGCTGGGGGCTGGCCTCACAGCTGCCTCCTCCTTTTCCAGGCCCAACCATAGAGGCTAAAACTCGGTGTTCTTAAATTTTAAAAGTCATGACAGGAATATTTATGAGACATCATGACCCCTGTGTTGCTAATTCTGGATTTTTTCCCCTAATTTTAAAATCAGCTGAATTTAAGATTTGGCCAATTCTGGGTCTTGTTAATGTGTATTGGTAAAGCCACCCATAGCTTGGGAGAACGCCCCTCCACAATCCCCGGCTCCAGCTGTGCCACGGAGCCTGACTCTCCGACACCTGGGGACCCCAGCATCTACAGGCTAGACCTGCAGGGTGTATCAAGGTGACACCCAGAAGTGGGAGTGCAGTTCAGAGGGCAATGGCCTCGCGGCAATGGATCTGGAAGCAGCATCTGAAAGGAAGGAGGGGGAGGGGTGTTGTTTGTTGAAGGATAATTGACATTTATCATAGAAAAGTACAATTAAAAGAACCAAATAAAAACTGGATAAGCCCACCTCCTAGTGATAGAACTGGTTAATGTTTTGAAGACTATACTTCCAGACCCCAGGCTCCACATGTGGGCATGTGTGCATGTGTGGGCATGACCCCGTCTCCACGTGTGGGTGTGTATGTGTATGTGCATGATCCTGGTCTCTGTGTGTGTGTGTGTGTGTGTGTGCATGATCCCCATCTCCACGTGTGTATACATGACCCTGGTCTCTGTGTGTATGGTTGTGCATGGGTGTGCATGATCTCAGCCTCGACATGTGTGTGTGCATGCCTGTGTGCATGATCCCCATCTCCATGTGTGTGGGTGTGTGCATGCATGTGTGCATGACCTCGGTCTCCATGTGTGGGTGTGCATGGGTGTGCATGATCCCAGCCTCCACGTGTGTGTGCATGCCTGTGTGCATGATCCCCATCTCCATGTGTGGGTGTCAATGCGTGTGTGTGCATGAATGGCTCGGATTATTCTGGAATCTCCTTTTCATATTTAGAGATAAATTCTTTCAGGTCACCGAATTGACATGTACGCCTGCCTGTTGTGTGGAAATATTATTTCCTCATCTAATAAATGAGGGTGGCTGGGCCATACCTTGCATTTCTGCAGCAGTTCGGCCTTGCCCAGCCTTGGAGGTTCCTGGTGTGGCTGCTCTGACCCTCTCCTGGGAGGGACCAGCTCCCACTCTCACCTGCAAGCCTGATTAGCAAACCTGACTTGGTTACTCAAGTGTGAAACTCACACTCAGGCAGGCATTGAAATTCAAGTTTTCCAGAGCTACGCTAAGGGCCAGGAGACCTGAACCGGCTGCAGAGAGGGAGAATTATACCAGACATCTCCGCTCCGGCAGAACACAACCGGACGCAGCTCTCGAAATGGCTTTCGGAGTCAGGAGGTCGTTTGGCCCAGCGAGTCATTTTGTAGATAAAGAGACTGAGGACTGAAACCCAGAACTGAGGCAGGGGAATAGGGAAGGAAAAAAGCGGCAGAGAAGATATGATTATAACTCAAACAGAATAAACTTTTATAAGACATTAGTAGTTTGGTTAAAAAAAATGATGAAGGATACAAATAGAAAATTTCCAGAAAACAAAATATAGATGGGTTAGAAACATTTAAAAAAAAAATTGATCTTGCTGACAAGGAAATGAAAACAAAACAAATGTCAGAATGGGGGAGATAACCCAGCGCTGGCCGGGTTCTGTATCTACACCCACCGGGTTCAAGAAGCTGGATCCACACCCGCCGGGTTCAAGGAGCTAGATCCACATCCTTGCCTAGACTTCTGCTGGGATTTTCCACCACCTTCCCACTAGTGTAACTTGGCCACACGTCCAAATAGCTTTAAAAATAGTCATTCCGTTTGAAACACTGTTTCACTTCCTGGAATTTATCTTAATGAATTAATTAGAGATTTCGACAAAGATTTATCTTCTGATATGTTTGTTGCAGCATTTTTTATGAGGGTGAAAATGTGGAAAAGACATAAATGTCCAACAGCTAGGGATTAGTGAAATAAATGGGGCCCTAGGCAGCCACAAAGGCTCAAACTTTGGAAAAATTAATGACATGAAGAGGCTTATGATGTAATAAAATTTAAAGTTTGCTTATAAAATTGAACGCTTTATTGAAGTGGATATTTCTGGGTGCCAGAATTACAGGTAACTTACATTTTTAACTTTGTTTCTCTGTGCTCTGGTACTGTTCTAAGTTTCTACAATGGACATATTTTTAGCTTCTCATTTTAAGAAAAGGACAAAGAAGGGAGGGTGAACGGGAGGACGCAAGGAGCCAAGGAAAGAATGATTTGTGCAGCTGTTTGCCATCTCCCTGTTAGCTTGGTAGTTGCCACTCGGGGCTTGGTAAAGTCTCCCCGAACCCCTCAATGTGTCCAGCACCCATACCCTGGGCCCTGGCCTGGGCTAGTGAGTGGAGGGCAGCAGTGGACTCGGGAGGTCAGCGGTCGGCAGGTCCTGCAGGAAAACGCAGTGGTGTGCCAGGTCAAGGGCAGCCTGCGGGCCCCCAGCTGACGCCTGGTTCCAGTGCTCAGTCAATAGACTCAGTGGTTGTGGGGTCATTGGACAGCCCCTGGCGCCCACTTTCTCGGACGCGATTCAAGACTTTATTGTTCCTGGCACTCTGGAGTTTTATTTTTCCAACATGAGTACCCCGTCCCTGCTCCCAGAGTGTGGGGCTGTCTGTGTGCTGGCTCTGCACAGGGACAGTCCTGGCCTCTTCCTATCCTCCTGCTGCTGGGTGACATGTGCCCTTCCATCCTCAAGTGGGCTGGTCTGCTTAGTGTCCCTAGGGGCCTCCCCACAAGTGGTCTTTGCAGAGAAACAGCAGCAGCATTGAGCCAGGAGCAAGGCTGGGGGCAGGCGCCTGACTGAGTGGACCCGACATGACACTCAAGTAGGAAAAGGTGGTGACAAATTGATAGCAAAGCAACAGAAAGGGACCAGGGAGCCCCGTGGTAATGTCAAACATCCCCCCGATGGGCACCGACTCCACAGACGCCAAAGTCAGAGACACCCGAGCAACCAGGGAGACCCGTCCCTCCTTTCCTGAACAGGTCATGGTCACCAGGAGGGCCATGCTTGGGACAGGTGACCGCAGCCAGTGGACACAGATGCTCATGTATCTGAGGCTGCAGAAAGGAAAGAGCAAATCCGAGGTAAGGCCTGAGCAACAGCCTGGCCCCCAGCAGAGCCGGCAACTGCCATTGATTCCATTTCCAGCAGGTGCCCAAAGACCACACCGAAAAAAACCAAAGAAGGAAACTCAGGGACGAGGTCGGGGGCCTGGCTGGCGAGTGTGGCAAGACAGCACGAATGTCCCCTTCTCCCTATGCTTAACTCATGTCCAACCCAAGCGGAAGTAGACATGGCTGGCTTGTTGAAAACATGTTCCTCAAAGGAAATCCCACGTGATTCCTTCCGCTGGGACAAAACCCAGACATGTGGCCACACTGAGTGAACACCTGCTCCATGCCAGGCGCCCTTCCAGACTCTGAAGAGCCAGCAGTGCGCAAAGCAGACCCAACGCCTGCCCTCGTGGAGCCCTGAAGGTTAATGAGCTCCAGGTGAGTACTGGGGATGTGGGGAGGGACAGGGATGAGCGTGGCTGGAGAGAGGGGCACCAAGAGTGCTGGCGCCTGCTGGCTTGCTGGGCAGCCTGGCCACCCCGGGAGGGAGCTGCTGCCTAATTGGCTCCTGTCTGTTTCTAGTGGGGTCCATTTGAAACCATCTAACGGCTCAGATCCTAAGCAAGTTCCAGCAGAGGCCCTTGATTGCCCTCTGGAAGGCTAATTAGTCCCAGAAACGGAGCGTCTGTGGGGCCTGCGGGACGGGGGAGCCCTCAGCCGGCACAAATGGTGGAGCCGGCATGGGGCTGCCTTCTAATGGCTGTTTGAAGGTTGCTCTGCGTTTGATTGACAAATGCCATATGTCCCTAATGCGCTTCTCTGAGCTCTCTCTTGTTCACCTCTGAAACAGGCTCCTCTTTGCTTTGATTTCATCTATATGATTTTGCCAGTCCCTGTTCTTTAAAGGGAGGAAAGTCCTCACAGCTCATCCCCACACAAGGCCCCAACAGTCCCTGGTCGCCAACTCCCGGCTCTAATGACTGCAGCCGAGTTCTCCAGCTCCTGCCGCTGCAGGGGACAACAGAGCAGAGCAGAGTGGACCACCGGTTTCCCTCACCCCCCACCCTACTCACCCCCTCCAAGGCTGCTGCTCCCCTGCGGAGGACGCTCAGAGCCACTGGGAGGAAAAGCCTGGTGACTGCTGTCACGAAGGTCCCAGAAGCCCAAAAGGCTCAGCAGACGCAGGCGGCTAAGAGCACCCGATGGGTTGCTGGCCTGGGCCTTAAACAGCCACGTGTGTCGAGGGAATGTGCTGGGTGCCAAACCCAGGGGCGACCAGAGCCACCTGCACTGCGTGCTGCCCCCAGGGACTGCAGCTCCCCAGAGCCCTCCTGGAGCCCGTCAGCCACAGGCTTCCTCATGCCCAGCCACGTCCTCACCGAGGGCATGGCTGCCGTCGCCTCCTTGTTCCTCTTGAAGCTGCGACAGAGCCCAGCCGAGGCCCTCAGCATCCCCTCAGCAGCGTGACAGGCGTTATTAACTGGTGCCCTCTCCTTCCTCCTCTTCGCCCCTCCCCTCCCGCTGGCCTTCTCTTCTCCAGGCAATTCCGGAAACTTCTAATTGCTTTTATCAATCTTCTCTCCCAGAGATACATGGAGGCTGCATAGATCTTCTTCCTTGTTCGCCTCTGCTGGCTGGAGATCCTTGACCATGAGGATGGACTTGCTCCTGAAGGGTAACTGGAGGTACGGGAGAAATTAGCAGCTGCTTCAGCTGTCACTAAGTGCAAGTGACAAGCCCATTACCATGCTCTCTAATGACCACCTGAATGTTTCCCTTCATTTTGTCAAAAATAACATCCTCATCGCTGCACAGGACCCCACCCGGCACCTTCTGTTGCGTGCTTCCTTCAGGCCAGTGTCTTCCTTCGCTGCCACCATCACAGCTTCTCTGTTCTTTAGGGCCCCCTTTCTCTGTCATCCATCCACTCCACCCCATCCAGGAGCACCCCCATACCACCATTCCCCGGCGCAGGACAGATACCAGCCACCTGCTCTGTGTTCCCTTGGGAGGCGGCAGCACTCTTGGGGCCCATAATGGGAGGTGCTGCTGCAAACATCAAGACCAAGAAGTCGCTCTGCCCCAGCATGCTGTTAGCACAAAGTGGCCTTCACCATCCACTGAACAATGGGGACTTTCTGGATGTGAGTGCCAAGGGCTTGCAGGCGCCAGAGGGAGTACGCGGAGTGGCACCTGCAGTCACAGTCCGCTGCTACCATGGGGAGCGCCCAGTGCTTTCCTCTGACACTGGGGGAGACCTCCTTCCAAATCAGCTCTGGGGGTCTGCGTGCCCAATGGGGCGTTTCTGGTGTCCATGAGTACTAAAGGTCCCCGGGCCACTTGACACCAGTGGGATTCTGTGTTTACTGCACAGAGGTTGCAGCTGTCCCTTCGCTCCACGGACCAGAGGGGGATGCATAGGGGCCTCCTTGGACCGATTAGGAGTTGCTCATCACCTGGAGGGCCCCCGGGCCGTCCTCCTGCCTCACCACTGCCCTTCACGGAGTCCCCCCCAGGGGACACATCTGTGTTCCCCAAGCCCCCCTACACTTGGGCAGACGGAGTCACTCCCTCCCAGGGAAGAGAGGCAGGAAAGGAAAACCACAGCTCATAAATGGTCCACGATGTCACTGAGGAAAGAGGAAACACTGCCTTTCCTCCTTAACAGCAAAATCAATCGAGGCCCAGTAAGCTAACGAGAAAACACACCCACAGCTCGGGCAGCTGCTTTCCCGGAGGGTCCTCATCTTCCCACTGCCGAGTGCTTTGCCTCCCAGGGCCCAGCCCCACCCCAGCGCCAAGTTGGGCAAAGGCCCTGCCGTCACAACTGGGGTCTGGGTGGACAAGGGATGTGACCTTGTCGCACACACAGAACACGGCTTCTGACTGTTTTCTCTACTGAGGAAGGAGCAAGAAAACGGGGCCCCTCGTGGCAGGAACCACCCAAGTGGGTGGGAGGAGACTCATCTTGAAGAAACAGGGGAACCAGGCTGGGGTCAGGTAGGGGCAATCGCCATGTGAGTCACTCTCTAAGGTGGGCAAAACCGTAGAGTCACGTGAGTGCTGCTGGGACAACCCTGCCTGAGATGAGGACGGGGACCCGGAGGCCAGGTCAGAGTGACTCCAGCCACCTCTCTCCAGCCCTGCCAACAGGGAAAAGGGCGTGCAACTGTCATGAGAACCTGGAAAGGCAGGGAAGAGTGCGTCTGGCAGCTGGAGAGGCGGACGGCAGGCAGGAGAGACTGGGCACCCCAGGCTGGGGCCACAGGGCTGGGAGTGAGGGGACAACACCATTCGCCAACGGGATGCCATCAGATTCCTCCAGCCACAGAAGGGGCGGGTCCACTGCAGCAGACACATTGGCTAGGGAGCACCCTCAGGGCGGCCCGTCCTGGACTCAGGAATGAGACCAGAGGGTCCTGGGGGCACGGGGAGGGTGACCCAGGACTTCCAGGGATGTGGGACTTTCAGGGCCAAAATGGAGTAAGTCCCAGGAAAGCCAGGACCAGCTGGTCCCCATATCTAGAGAAAAAGTCTCCGGAACTGTCCCTGCACTGCACCCAGCATGCAGGGCTCATGACCTCCAAAACCCACACCCTCACCCCCAACCCCTTCAACACCCACACCCACACCCCACACACCCACACCCCAATAACCCCACACCCTCCAACACCCACACCCACACCCTCCAATACCCACATCCCACACCCTCCAACACCCACACCCACACCCTCCTACACCCACACCCCACACCCTCCAACACCCACACCCTCCAACACCCACACCCACAACCACACACTCCAACACCCACACCCACACCCTCCAACACCCACACCCACACCCACACCCTCCAACACCCACACCCCACACCCTCCAACACCCACACCCACACCCTCCAACACCCACACCCATACCCACACCCTCCAACACCCACACCCACACCCTCCAACACCCACATTCACACCCTCCAACACCCATACCCACACCCAATACCCATACCCACATCCCCACACCCTCCAATACCCAGATGCACATCCCCACACTCCAATACTCACACCCACACCCACACCTCACATTCTCCATAACCACTGCCACCCCCCCACACCCCAATACCCACACCCACACCCCCACACCCTCCAATACCCACACCCACATCTCCATGCCAGGGAACCAGGGAACATGGTCGGGAGGCTTCCCAGGAAGAGACCCACAGGGCTGCTGGGGCTAAGACCCGCAGAGGTCAGAGGCTGCGGGAAAACAGCCCTGGGGACCCGAGGCTTCAGGCGTCAGGAAGGCAGTGAGGACTACGCCCGGGCTCCCATGGCTGGGGGGCTGGGGGCGCCTGGCTCCAGGCAGAAGCCCTGGCCCAGTGTGTGTATGTGTGTGTGCACATGAACGCGAGGGTATGTGTGCGTGAGCATAAGGGTATGTGTGTTTACGTGTGTGTGCATGACTGTGTATGCATGCACCTGTGTGTGAAAGTATGTGTATGTGTGTGACCGTGAGCATAAGTGTATGAGTGTGTACGTGTGTGCATGACTGTAAGCGTGTGTGTGTGCATGTGCCCATGTGTGTGTTAAAGTATGTGTGTGTGTGTGCGCGTATGTGTCTGAGAGTGAATGTGTGCACGTGTGAGCGTCTGTGTGGGGACGCGAGTAGGGAGAGGCCTGTGAGGACAGAGAACCAGGGCGCCTGGCATAAACGCTCATGGTCTGGTCCTGGAGGAGGCATCTGCGGAGTCCCCGCGATGGCCGCGCCCCGAGCGCAGCGGGCCGCCAGCCCGGATGGGCCCCCGCTGTCCCGGAAAGGGGGAGCGGGCTGCGGGCTCCGCCGCGCTGTTTCTGCGCACGCGCACCACGCCGGCCGCCTCCTGGTCTCCACAGCGCCCTCTGGTTCGGATGCGGCAACCGAGAAACCCGGAACGGCACGCGGGGCTCCTCCGAACTGTGGTTGCACTTACTGTGAGTCTACAATCGCTGTAAAATAAAATGTGTTTAAAAGGTATTATATTTAGTTTTTCATAATAAAAACCTGGCCCTGTTTTAGGTCACAAAAGAAAGCTCCAGCAAATTCCAAAGAAACAGAGGAGGTGGGACGTCGCGTCCTACCCCAGGCCGTGGGGGTGCAGCCCACTGTGGCCAGGAGCCGGCCAGGGGCGGGAGGGGGCGAACTGAAGGGACCTGGAGGTGCGGGGTCCCTTCGGTGTCCCTTTACTCCTTTGTGTGAGACTACAATATTTCAACACAATTTCCAGCAAAATCCATCTCAAATCCAGTAGATTATGGAGGAAAATAATTGGACATATAAAAGATCCGGAAATGTAAAATAAGGGGGCTTATATGAGGAATTCCAGGAACTGTTTTCCCGTGAAATTGATGTTCTACAAGAAACAGAAGAAAACTCCATTCTAAAAGAAACTTGGGAGAAAATTGCGTCTTTGAAAAGAGAACAGGGCCAGGTGCAGTGGCTCAAGCGTGTAATCCCAGCACTTTGGGAGACTGAGGCAGGAGAATTGCTTGAGCCCAGGAAGGAGTCGAGGCTGCAGTGAGCCAGAATTGTGCCCACCCACACCCCAATGCACTCCAGCCTGGGTGACAGAGAGCGACCCTGTCTCTAAAAGAGAACAATTTGAGATTTTTAGAATATTGTTTTTATACTAAGATATGCACAAATGTCTAAATAAAAAATAAAATATTGTTTTTAGAAGTAAAACATTAATTACTCATTGGTTTTTCAGCTCAACAGAAGCCATGAACAGCATATTGGATATTACAAAGAGCTAAATAATGACTCAAGAAATTCTCTCAGCACCCAGAAGAAAAGATAAAGAGGAGAAAATCATAAATAACAAGAAAGATAAAAAGGCAAGAACACAGAGTATCTGTTGGGTATTCCTGGAGATTCCAGACGGCAAGAATGATCAGAGAAGTAATTATGGAAGAAATAAGAGATGAAAAGTGATCAAAGTGGAAATTATATTAGCCATATATTACGACAGTGCAATAAAATGAAAACTCAGTAGTTCAAGGAAAAACAGGGAAAATAAAACCTTTAAAACTCAAAGAGCCTCCCAAATAATTCACGAGTAGGAGAGGAGAACCCGGCCATTGTGGGTTTTTATAAAACAACAGTCATGGCATAGGAATGTTTTGAGAAGAAAATTGGCATTTTTAAATTTTGTTTGGCTGTGGGACAGGGTGTCACTCTGTCGCCTGGGTTGGAGTGCAATGGTGCAATCATAGCTCACTGCAGCCTCCACTGCTTGGGCTCCAACGATCGTCCCATCCCAGCCTCCTGAGCAGCTGGAACCACAGACACACACCACCATGCTCAGCTAAGTTTTAAATTTTTTGTAAAAATGAGGATCTCACTATATTGCTCAGGCTGGTCTTAATTTCCTGGGCTCAAGTGATGCGCCTGCCTCAGCCTCCCAAAGAGCTGAGAGACTACAGACGTGAGCCACTGCGCCCAGGGAACACAGATAACTTGACTGTGTTTTACAAAATTCAACAGAAATGAAAATAAATGTTCTAATTAGGAAGCAAGATAGTAAAGAACAAACGGAACTGGAGGGAAGGAGAAGAAAGGTTAAGCTGAGAAATTCATGATTCAGCAGTGCCCCTGAGAGCGGGTTCTCTGCAACAGTCAAGGCTCTGGCAAGGTTAATCAAGAAGAGAGAGCACGAACCCCAATGTCCAGGCGCCGTTACAGAAGAGGAGGGGCCGCAGGCAGAGTCCAGGCCAGCAGGTAGGGCTGTGGGCAGCTCAGCAGGGGGGTGTGTGTTGGAGGCTGAGTGCAGACCAGGGGCCCTGGGGCAAAGGCAGGGCAGCTCTGGTTTCCCAGGAACACCCGTCAGCTCCATCACTGGGAACTGGGAGCAGCTTAGCAAAGGGAAACGAGTTTCTTGGTGAATTAAACCCGGCTGCCATGCCTTGAGCAAACAACCACAGGGCGGGTGACAGCCATGGTGTTCTTTCCGTGCTAGTGCTGACAGGCTCCCAAGTGACAGGAGTGGAGGGGACAGCAGACCAGGGAAACCCTGCTTGTGACCTGTCCCCAGGTCTTTCACCAGCCCCTGCGCTCCGGCATGGCTGTGCTGTATGGCGGGAAGGGCGCCATCAACCCAGGTGCCTACCTTGGAATGTGCCAGGAGCTTGGGAAGTCTGGAGGCTCTGGTGGCTGGAATGAGGCTTGGAGAGAAATCCAGGCCTGCCAAAGAGTTGCCGGGACAGAAGGTGCATGTGCACCGGCTCCCACTCCCCACTCACCCAAGGCCCTGCCTTAGTCAGGAGCCACTAGCGTGCATCCTGGGAGCCCATCTGCGCCTCCAGAGCCCCGGGGCCCTCGGTGCTGGCCAGGTCAGGACACAGCCACCTTGGAACTGTCCAAAATGCCTCAGTTTCTAGGTTTGTCCCACTGACTTGAGAGAGAGGTGACAAAGCTTAGGAGTTGGGGTGGGGGGGCAGCTCCCATTCTTCTCTTGGCCCAGCCGGGGGCCTTGGGGAGCCTCACCCAGGTTCTCAGCTCACCTTCAACCCAGGCCAGCTCCCCATCCTCAGGATCAAAGGCGCAACCCCTCGAACAGAAACGCACCCAAAAAGCAGCTGCCGCGGCTGGAGGAGACACTAAGGAGTGCTGAAGGCCATTTCTCCACCCACACTTGGTGAAGAGTGAAGGAGGATGATTTTTCTTTTTTTTTTTTTTTTTTGTGACGGAGTTTCGCTCTTGTTACCCAGGCTGGAGTGCAGTGGCATGATCTCGGCTCACCGCAACCTCCGCCTCCTGGGTTCAGGCAATTCTCCTGCCTCAGCCTCCTGAGTCGCTGGGATTACAGGCGCGCGCCACCATGCCCAGCTGAATTTTTGTAGTTTTAGTAGAGACAGGGTTTCACCATGTTGACCAGGATGGTCTCGATCTCTTGACCTCGTGATCCACCTGCCTCGGCCTCCCAAAGTGCTGGGATTACAGGCGTGAGCCACCGCGCCCGGCAGGGGGATGATTTTTCATGCATGAGGAGAAGCAAGGTCGCTGGTGGGGCAGGCCTTCCCCAAACTGGAGTGAGCTGGCCCCCCAAACGCTGGCCCTGTCATCTGCATGGCCCACGAGCTCCTGTTGCAGATCGAGGGGCCTTGTGCCACCATCTGGGCCAGTCCTGCAGCCTGAGCCCTCAGCACCTCCTGGAAGCCCTCGGCCCCTGGCTCCAACATGGGCTACGTGGCCTCTCCCAGCACCCTGCCCACCTGCTCTTCTCGCCTCCTCTTTCCGGCCCAAACCCACTCCCACCCTGAGGTCTCCACTCACCCCGCACTCCCCACCTCTATGGAGATGACACCAACCCTCTCCTCCCGCTGAGCCCTGGACCAGCACTCAGCCGC